CAACAAGAGTTATCACTCACAACATCCTGGTACTAAACATGAGTTATCACTCACAACATCCTGGTACTAAACACGAGTTATCACTCACGACATCCTGGTACTAAACATGAGTTATCACTCACGACATCCTGGTACTAAACATGAGTTATCACTCACAACATCCTGGTACTGAACATGAGTTATCACTCACAACATCCTGGTACTAAACATGAGTTATCACTCACAACATCCTGGTACTAAACATGAGTCATCACTCATAACAATCAAATTGTATTATTGCAGTCAAAATGTATCAACTCATGTGAACAGTGTATATGTATTACCTTGGCACAGTTGGAGGTTAACAATGGGGCCAAGGCCTGTATGGCACCATGCCCACTTAGTATATTCTGATGATCTCTATTCTGTAATGAACAAAATATGACAAATACACATTTGACATTATTCTCATACATCTGACACTAAAAACAATAGAAAACAATAGAAAACTTGTCACTAACACCCGTACTAGTGTGGTAGAAAGTTGACACGTTGAATGTCTGCCTTATTTGGAAACTATGTGTCATGTTTACATCACATTCAAACACTCTATTTTGTTCACTTCAGACACAGAAGTACTGCCAACATGTGATGGAATCATGCCACTGAACACTAATGTTCACACAGCAGGAAATGATTTGTTGGCATTTTAGACTGTTATCTTTCATTAAATTATTACTACATGTACAAGCAGGGGAAAGATGTATAATAATAATAATAATAATAATAATAATAATAATAATAATAATAATAATAATAATAATAATAATAATTTTATTAACACTTACACATTCCCCGGAGGGATTGGCAATGGTTACAAAAGTTTAAGAAGGAATAAAAGGTTACAAAACAGTAAATAGATAAAAAAAACAAAAAAACAAAAACAATCTAAGCTAATACATTACAGATAATAGCAAGTATAAAATTATGATACTACGATAGATAGAAAACAAAATGCAAAACTCAAACAGTGAAAGAAGGTTGTCACTGGGGTTGCTGTCTTATTTCAAAACACTTCTTTAGGTACCTTGCTACGGGGAGTGTTAGGCCACTGTTGTTTAGCAAGGCTATGAATTGTGTCTTTGGTGACAAATTTCAAAAGTTTTGGATTTTGGTTTTTGCCATTTTGAATAGGACATTTCTTTCGGGGGTATATCTTTTACACGACATCATGAGGTGATACTCATCTTCTACTTCATTTTGATCACACAGGTTGCATAATCTATTAACAAGGGGTATTCCTTTGTGTCTGCCAGTCTCAATTTTCAAGTTATGGTCACTGATGCGGAATTTAGTTAAATTTTCGCGCATCTCAATGTTTTTCAGGGTAACAAGGTATGTTTCGAAAGCAAAATTGTTTTTTAATTCTCTGTATGTTCTTATCTGTATGATAAGGTTATCATGAGAATATCAGTGTACTCGTAATAAACTCATTAATATGCACATGAATTCCGCATATTTAGTAGATCAATCTTTGACACAACACAATAAAACAAAATTAGAATTTTGTGAGATTTCAACCTAAAATAACAATTAATCTGACACAGAATAATAAGAGTTTGTTTAGGATGTCCAGTCTGCATCACTGAGGTGGGGACGTACCCCGACTCAGCTTGTCGGTGAAAACATGTGCGTCTAAGGCTGCGTCTCGTAGCACAGTAGTGGCCCTGGCCAAGAGAGCCAGGTGACACTAGAGGGTGTCGCACGTAGATGTGCAGTGGCCCACCAGTAAAAATGTCGCCTGGTCTAGGAGGCTGGTGCGTTCTGCCTCCAAGGTCTCCAGAGTCCTGGGCACGCACAATAATGCGCTCAAGCAACTCTGCCCTCAGGGCTGGATGGGTCGTCTTCGATTGGCAAGAACGCCCATGGAACGCGGCTGTCCCCCTTTGCCCGGTTTGCCAAATTCGTGGTACCGTGGTCTGGGAAGGAGCCTTGGGATCCGGTTGGGGGGGTTTTGGTCTCATCCCCCGCTATGGGGTCTGATCCCGAAACCACACAGACCGGGTAGTGTTGCCTAATATTTTCCCCACCCGGGGGTCTTAAGCGTTACATCCTTCACGGCTGACCAACACCGCCCATCAACACCGTTTGCGTGCTCTGCGCCCCACTCCGCACTCGGACGGACAGGGAGAGACGTGCCGACCGGGTTGCTTTGGATCCCATCGCCCGTGATCCCATAAGCGTTGAAGCAACCTTAGGTGGTTGCCTTAAGATCAAGGGTGGGGTATTTACATTGAATCACCGGGATCGATGATACTCCGCATCCCCCCAAAAAGCGTGGCTCACCGAGTCATAAGGATGGAAGACTCTGAGGAACCGCCCGGAGTACTGGCTGTATCCGACACGAGTGAACTGCGTCTCCTTTCATTTTAAACATGTGAAAGAGAGCGTGTTCGACTGTGCGTCTCATGACAGGGTCGGTTCCCTCTGGGGACGGTGAGAAGGGAGTCAAAACCCACAGCGGAGACCAGACACAAGGATAAATTCGTTACCACTGTATCATTACCGCGTGACGAACCCTAGCTGGCTGAAAGTAGGGGGGTTCAACGTGTGCCCTGCCCTGAAAGCCCTGCCCCGAGATCGGAGGCTTGGCTGCCAGCATCCAGTTGCCATTCAGTGCCCGAGGCTCCAGAGGAGGCCCGGTGCAATAAGCCTGAGCCTCGATCTCCCCCAAAAATAGTAGGAGAGCCGCGGCTGGGAACGGGGGTTCCCCGGAAGAGACGTGTTTGAATGCAAACAGGCTTTCGTATTTCTTCCCGCTTACCCATCGAGGGGCTGCAGCAGAGACAGCTCACTCCGACTGCGTCTGATCTACCCGGCTTGCCAGGGACGCAATTGTCCCGACAGTCCCTCGACCAAAGCCCTCAACTCAACGAGGAAGGGTCCACAAAAGGAACCCGCAACACGCCCCACAAGAGGGAAGGGTCCACAAAGGGACCCGCAGCGGGCCCCACAGGAGGAAAGTCTCCAGGGGCACAGCCTCGCTGCAGCCGGTAAAATGGGAGTAAACCACCGCCTGAAAAAACAGACTGTGAGGATGCCCTCCGATCAGCGGGGAGAGACCGAGAAAAATATCGGTACCTCCACCAACGGGTCTCCTACTCGACGCCCCGGTACAACCGGTAGCCGAGTGTGAGGACTTTCTACTCATGCCAAACACGCAACTCACTTTAACCAATTTGTTTACTGGATGCGCGACCTTGCTGTGATGCGGTCAGTCTCAGCGATTTTGATGGCTCTGAAAGAAAATCTCATGCCTCAGAACTCCAGTGAAAAAACACACACCTTCACGCGAAAACCCTGAACCCCGCACGCAGCTACGACAAAGTATCTCGAATGCGGGTTCTATGCTGGTAAATTCTGAATATAACCACTGCACAGTCGACTTGAAACGCGAGGAGACCAAAAGGAAAAACGGCAACGAGCCCTGGTGCTGTCAGTACATCCATACATTGCTAAATACATTGCAAATAAAAGACGACATGCATGAGGGAAAAAACGAAATACAGTTGTAAAAGTGCCGCCGCGAAACCACAGTGG